TCTTGAGCATGATTCATATTTGAGTTTGTTCCTTGTTATTCTTGAAATTTTGTGTTTTTGTACTCTGAGTTTTGATATTTTGGTCATCTTTTTGGTATTTTCCTTATGTGCTTAGCTATTCACATTGTAACCTTGAACCTTTTAAGTCTTAGCTTTTGAGTCTGCATCTTGTTTCCTTTCCCATAGTTTATTTGCCTGTATATATTTTATTTGTCTGTATTTATCTTTAGTGTCACAGAAAGGTTTGCCTTTTTGTGCTCTTAATAAATGCATTTTGGTTGAGTTTCTTCTTAGATTTTATGCTTTACAGTGTTTTGATTTATATCCTAAGTTATCGTGAACCCCTTAGTTCTTTAATAGTTAAGTTAAATTCCTCTGAATTCTGTCTCATCTCTCCTTTCTTTTGTCTTTTGGTGTTTCTGTCTTCCCTGCATTAAGTTACTTTACTTGCTCTTTTCGTTACTTCTTTTTGTTATTGTCTTGGTCGTATTAAGCTGTGTTTGATTTCCCTGCTATTTTCACTTCCCTTGTTACCGTTTGTGTTTATATATTGTCTCAGCCTTCCTTTATCCTTTCTCCTGTTGTCCATTTAGCTGTTTGTCTCCAGGTGTATATCCCCTGTATTTCCCAAGCTTCTGTTCCAATCGTTTCCGGATATTGGGATTCCCTGGCTTTGCTCTGTGTGTATTCTTGGATTTGGACTTTGTAAATCTTTGGACTTAATCAGCATTAAATGCTTGCTTTGTGTTTGACTTCTGTCCTGCTCTTTGGTCCTTAACCCTGTAAGACCCAACCGATCAAAACATAGCCAGAAAATTCAGATCTTTTGGAACTGAGATGTTTATTAACCCACAATTTTTTTTCTATATCATGTTGTGTGTGATAGATTTATAATATATATTTATTATATTTTTTTTTCACATTTGATACATTGGGTGTTTTTTGGCAACTTTTTGTTAACAACAATGTTAATTTTAAGGAAAAAAGGAGTTTTGTCCATAACATTTTGAAATTATGGCAAGTATTGATCATGTTGATGAGATAGCGGTCTCAGAAACTCACGTATCAAATATGATACAAAGGGAATTATAGGGTTAAAGTAACATTCTACACAGCTCATTATGATAACTAACACAGAAATTTAGAAGGAACAAAAATAAAAGACAGACATGGTGAGTTTAATGAAACAAATGAGGGTTATCAGTGTCTAAAGTTCTGTGGATCAGTGTGTTGTTGCAGTGTTAAATTAGTGCATATAAAGCAGCAGAGTGGTGAGTTGGGGTCAGAATGTCACAATGAGCGAGGGTGGGTCTGCAATAAGCGCCCGGGCAACTCAGCTCGGCCAGCTCCCACAGTGCAGGGAGTGACTGCAGAGTACACCTGGCCTGGCAGCTTCAGAGCATACAGGGATAACTGAGAAAGGCTTCTTCCTCGGCCGCAACCCAAACTGACAAAGGGAATCATGCGCTGTAGTTGAAGCAAATAGAGCAAGGGTGGCAGTGTTAATGTGTGACTGTGCTATCATGCAGAGGTTTTTCCACGTATGCTTATGCATGTGCGTGTATGTGTGCGCATATAGTAGAGGCTCAAGGGTGGCGGGAGGAGCCCCGTCTACTAACAGCTGTCTGCTTTCCTAACCTTTGTGTTTGTCATACCAGGTTAAAAGCAGGGCACAGTAAGGAGAAAAAAAAGTGAGGGAAAAGGTCAAACTGAACCAAAAAATGATGGTGCTAGAGTGCATGCATGTCAGATTTCTAGAATGTATCACTATATGAAAGCAGCATTTTGCAAGCTTGAACTGGCTGCCAAACCACTTATGAAACCGTGTCGGGAAAGTTGCTAAAAACATAAAAAAAAAAACCAAACTGTGAAGCTTACGTCACTCAACATCTTAGCACTGAGAAAAATAACAGACTGTGATTTAGCAGCCTTTTTTCTTACATAAATAGTGTAACTTATTGATCCAGATTCTGTTTCTTTAAGAGAAAATTAATAATTCAAGAAAAAACATGCAGTCCACTAATATACATTCAAAATACTCCATCTAAACATGCATATATATATATATCACCTGATTGCTGGGAAGGGCACACTGCCTATATGCATCTATAAGAGATCATGTCGATATGGATGTATAACTGAAAAGAAAAACAATCAAATAAATGAATACACTCTGGGTATCGGTTTTATATAGGTAATGCTCTATTACGCACAGCAGTAATTTAGGATTTATTGAATATAACACAATGCATTGTGGGATTCAATCGACATTGTTTTTTAGTGAAAGACCCTTTAGTCTTCAGCTGCCAGTCTTATATATAATGCATATTATTCACACTTATGACTCGAACACTCAAATCAAAAAGAAGCCAGTAAATGAATGCGTGTTATTCTGGAAATAGACTTATTCTGTGTTTGCTTGTTTGCAAGGGCGGAGGCTTATGCAGCAGGGCCCCTTTAGCAGCATGAGAAACATCTGGGCTCAGTGTTCTCTCGTGATGATAAGCAGGTGACATTACCAGTGCAGACATTGCTACAGTTGCACCTCAGTAATTAGTAAATAGGCAAACAGTCAACATGTTTCAGGTGCATTCACAGGGCAAAACATCGGCAACACTGCTGACGTAATCAGAAGCTTCTGTGAGATCCACAGCACAAAAACAAACAAATAAATAAAAATCGAGAAAGGGCGCTCATACAAAGGTTTCACAAATGTGGGCACTTCACAAACAATAGAAATAAATGAAGCGTTTCATTTTTTAGTGCTATATCTTAATTACAAGTAAAATGTTTCACATTATTTTCACAATCCTTCATAAATCATCTTTCAAGTAACCTTTTAGCATACATCATACTATAACATATTCTGATTGTGTTGATGCATGTCATCAAGTTATCACAGCACACACTGTTCATTGTATTTGCAGTGATACTGATTTGAGTACAGTGTTATGTTGCATTAAAAATGAATGAAAAATTTAGTGTTTCTTTAGTAGAAAAACAGGTTGAGTTCCAAAAATATCTCCTCCTTGCACAAATTAATTCATTAATTTAGAATTAATTATTTCGGTTGCTGTTTTCACCATCTAATCACTACTCTCGTTATTTATAGCTAATCTTTCCTGCAAAAAATATATATAATTACATTTTTAGAAGTTTTTTAGCAACATTTTTTTAGTTTCACCTTTTTCTCCTGAATATAATGCTACATGACAGTGATAAATATGAAATAAAATTGTCCTTTTGCTACCTTTTTACCTTCTGACTGTGAATTGAGATTTGATGTTGTTTAGTCTATTTGTGCTGAAGTAAATCTCAGTTTTACTTGGCACAGAATTTAATCCTGAAGACCTTTTCTTTTCCCCTGCTGATGGCAATGTCTTTAAAATTAAACCTGGAACAATTACAGCTGTTAAGATGCTCAAGCACTCTCAATATCACTGATGTGTTTGGAATAAACTTGCTATATGCTTGAGGAAATTTCATAAAATGATATAGAGAGGGGTGAATGCCCCCTTAAGAGCAAAGTAGTGCAGGCGAGCATGGCAGCCAGTGTCACATCCCATTCCTGCCAGGTCTGAGGAATGTCCAGTCCTTGACACTTGTCCAATCTAAGCTATCTCAAGCTCTCTCCTCCAGCTTCACGCTGGCTAATCTCTCCTGACACCTCACACAGGCCCGACAGGGAATCACTCTACCCTGAAAACAATCCACCCCTCCTCACTCTTCACCCCAAATCAGTACCACCCCCTTTTATTTCTGTCTTCCTTATATTTCTCTTTACCTTCTCCTTCCCTATCTATCCATTCCCCATTACTTCTCTGTGGCCTGCTCTTTCTCTCATGTTTCCATCGGTCTTTGTCAAACCATATTCTGCTCCGTTTCTATCGTTCTCAATCTTTCCTCCCCCTGTCTTCTCTTCTCCGTCCTCACTTCCTCGCTAGGTATATCATACCCCTGTTGATGTGAATCTGTGAAAATAAACTGTGATTGCAGATTGAGGAATAGCCTGCATTTCCCTAAGGGCTCATCTGCATTCAAAAAAGGCATTTTACTCCACTGGAGGATGTTGCTAAAGTTGGAGAGTCTTTATCTCCAAGAGCACCTTTCCAGATGGAGAGAAGCACCACAGGATCACTTCAGGATGGGACGTGGCGGGGGGAGCATAAACACAGACATCTCTCCCTGGATGCTCGTCATCCTGGATACACTTTGCATTCTCCAGAGAAAAGAGAGATAAGGGATTTGCTGATAGGATCTTTTTATTGTTTGCACTGAGTGTCCATTATTCGAATTCTCGCTTCAAACAGAACAAGAAACGCACATTTCCAGTCATGTTTTTTGCTGTCGCTGCAGTTAATCTCACAGAGCGAATGAGCTCTTTTACAGATAATTTGCCTTAATTAGTGTATTTGGGATTCAAAAATTCTCCTGAGACAAGTCACTCAAAAAAATCCCATTTATTATTGAAATGTATTCAACAATTCCAAAAGATAAGATAGACAAACAAGTCATAGATTTCAATTACAAGCTGTTTGTTCTTCTCATCATATCTATAGAGGCTCCACCCTACAGAGCACAATCTCATTGGCTGCTGCGTAAAATATATGTCATTGGCTGTAGCACAGGATAACTCTGAAAAATAACAATGTAATTATGGCACGGCACATGCTAAGATGCAGACACTCACTGGTATGCACAGAATACACACATACGCGCACAAACGCAAACACGCATACACTCAAACGTGCGGTCATAATAGGCCAAGTCACTCACCCAATCAGTTTCATTCTCAAGCAAGCCATCAGGCAGCCATGTCGAGTAAATATTACCATAATGCCTGTGTGTCATTGAATATGCAGCTAATGAATGGATGACATCCAGTGAAGACACTGAAACATAAAAATTGCCCACTCACTTTCACTGTGCTTGAACGCCTCCTCTACCTCCCCATCTCACTCACTTCTGACTCTTTCTCTGCATTTGTGACTTTCTTTTCCTTGCTCGCTGCTTCTTCTTCTTCTTCATTTTTAATACCTTGCAAGAAACCTTGGAGGTCGGCATAACAGAGAAGAGGAAAGGATTGGCGTTCTTCAATTGGGTTACCTCTGAGTTTGAAAATTTTCTGTATCACATAACTAGTTGTGCTGAGTGGAACATCTACATGAAGCTAGAACATTGAAAAGATTATTTATGCCCTCCTTTAATCTGAAGAGCAGCAGGACATTTGTGACAGTGCCAGAAACAGTGTGAGGTGGTTTCTGGATAGGGTATTGTCTATATTAGATGTTTTCTTCTTCAGATACACTGGAAGTGCAGAATGTATTGTTATTCTCCACATGAATAATAGTTACCTTGTTTTACCTAGAAATGAAGAAAAACACACACTGCTATGAAATAGTGAAACTCTTGATTTAAAGATTTGTTTTCCAGCTGTTAGAGCTCTGAGCTGCATCACAAATAACATCTCTCAGTCAAACAGGATATCTTCACAAGGGACAAATATATTCTCTTTTATTTATTTATTTCTTTTTAAATCTTGCTCGTGTTGAATATTATGCATGTCTACAAAATGAAAACACAATCTAAGGAAAATTTCACGGAACAACACTATAAGTTTCAGTCACTTCAGTCCACTGATACTGCAGCTGACTGCTGCCGCTGTGGAGAGAAGAGGTGAGATCATCCACTTAGCAGGGTTTTCATATTTGTTGATATTTCTGTGCAATGGAGCAGGGCTAAAGAGGAGAGACACTGAGAGTGAGGAGCTTTTGACCAGTGGCACTGTGGCAAGGAGTGTGGAAAAACCGGCCCACCTCCACCTAACATCCCACTCCTCCCACACACGCCCAACCGAGCTCCTCTCAGTCCTCAGGAGCTTTGCATCCAGACTTGGCTACAGAACCTGGATGTCTTGACTGATGGATACGAAGCAGAGGTGTCCGTGATGATGGAGAGAATTAGGAAAACTAGAAAGCATTCCAGGCTTTTAACACATACACCCCCTCCCCCCCGTCATACTACACTTAGTCTGAGTCTCTTCCTGTCTGACTGTCTCTGTGTCTGTGTGTTCTCAGTCTGCGTAGAGGATGAAGCCAGAGAAGGTGCTGTACTTGTTGTTGTTGCCACCGTGGGCTTTGCCTCCATCCAGTTTGATGTACACTTCGTCTCCTGCATCCAGATGGAGGATGACACTGTTGGAGGCGTAGTCATAGTTCTGGTCAGCATCTTGGGCAATGGCACTGGCACGAACCTGCAAGGCCAGGAGCAGATAAACACGTAAAGAAGAGGTAGCCTTCATAGTTGCTAAAGGTATCAGTACATTAGCTTAATGTATTTAGCAAATGCTATGAATCAGGTGTCAGTCTCTCATGCTAAGACAGATACTGTATTCACCCTTACAAGTCTATATTACTGTAAATCTAAACTAAAAGCACTTAGCGCATGTAAGTACTCATATATCTCCAAGGATGCACAGACATTACATTTGCTATTTTGAGCAGGGAATGTGTTTGGCATTTGAGCATAGAAGCTTGTAAGAAAATACACATAGCAAATACAGTTTTGATTACAATGGTGAATATATTCAGAAAACCCCAAGCTTACAGTTTTAAAATTACATTATTTTTAAAGTCAACTTAGATTAACATTTAAAATAAAGCTAGCATCCTCTTCCTGTCTCCATGGTCTAAAGTTCATAGAATTTTTTTTATTGATATTCTGCTAATTAAGAAGCAGCATTATTTATGACATGGAATAATGAAAGTGCAAAAAAGAGAAGCTTTTTTTTATCATAAGAGAGCAATAATGTTTATTCAACAGGAAGACAATTTATCATTTAGGACATACATTTCGATTTGGTTTCATTTTGAAGTCGATTTTTATTTATTTTTTTTGACAAATATATCTTTTTAATATTGATATTAAACATATAAAACCGACCCAAAACTTTAGCCTCTGTGTCAGGCAGATTTATGGTTTCAATCAAGCCAGGGGTCTTTTGCAGAGCTATTGTTCGACCTTGAAGCAAAATGCGCTCCAAAAGTCTCAGAAATGCAACAACAGGGCTTACTCTGGGGGGTCACAGTGTGGAGGAAATTAGAAGAAACAAAACATAAAAGATGTTTACTGAGTATAAGCAGAAATATCTGATAACTAACAGGAGTGATGGGAATCGCTGGAATGAGTTTGCATCAAAAAGAGGAAAAAAGAACTTTGTTGTTGTTGTTTTTGGGTTTGCAGCTTCTGTCTGGCCACATGTGTGTATGTGTGTGTTTGTGTCCCTGTGTGCCTGTGTGTTTTGGCACTCTGTCTGCAGGACATTTGGAGCAGTTTCTAAATAACCTGTCCGGGGTAATTAAGACATCCACTACAAACGTGCTGTGTTTTTAAGTCTAGGTGCAGTCCCACATGAGTCTTGAAACAATAGCTGTGGTTTATCGCATGTGTGTACTTGTGTGTGTGGCAGAGAGCTGTTCTAACAGTGATTATTTAAGTAGGAATGAGTAGTGCATAATGCTTTTCAATTCAATTCAATATTTATAGAGCTAAATCACAACAAAAGTTGCCTCAAGCTGCTGTATAGTGTAAAGTAAAAACCCTACAACGATGCAGAGAAAACAGAGAAACCCCCAACAACCATATGACCCCGTATGAGCAAGTGCTTGAGCAACAGTGGGAAGGAAAAACTCCCTTTTAACAGGAAAAATCCTCCAACAGAACCAGGCTCAGGAAGTGGCAGCCATCTGCCACAACCTTTTGGGGTGAGGGGAGGGAGACGGGGTATAGACACGCTGTGAAAGGGAGCCATACTAATAATAACTAATGATTACATGCACAGAGATGTATAAACACATAGGGAGTGGAAAACGTGACTGAAGAAGAAATACTCAATGCATCATGGGAATCCCCCAAGAACCTACACCTACTGCACCGTAACTAAAGGAGGATTCAGCGTCACCTCATCCAGCCTTAGCTACATGCTTTTTTTTTTAAAGGGACAGTTTTAAGCCCAATCTTAAAACCAGAGAGGATATCTGTCTCCCAAATCCAAACTGGGAGCTGGTTCCACAGAAGAGGGGCCTGGAAGCTGAAGGCTCTGCCCCCATTTTACTTTTAAATACCCTAGAAACCACAAGTAAGCCTGCCATCTGAGAGCAAAGTGTTCTGTTGGGGTGATCCATAGCTATGAGGTAAGATAAGATGGGGCCCGATGATTCAAGAACTTTCTGAAGCTACATTTTAAAGACTAAAATCTTTAGCCTCCCTGTTTTCCAGCTGAAAGGTAAAGAGTGAAATTAAAGGCAAACCAGCTGAATGAAGATCCTAAGTTGGTCAACAACAGCTTTTATGAAAGCCTTATTCTCAATTCTCACTTCAGTCTGGCAGTAGTGCCATGCATTATTTTGTGTTGTTTTGCTTCTAGCACATTCGATTTTAAATTAAAAGAGTGCTCATCCAATTTATTATTACACTCCTACAGTGTCATTCTCATGATGGTCTTTTTTATGTCTGCAGCAGTAGCAGAGATATTGTTTTTGTTTTTTTTGTTTTTTTGTTCACTCAACAGAGTCTGCTTCCTTGACAAAAATCTGGCACCAGTTCAGCTGGAGACAGTGGTGTGTTGCACAAGTAGCAGCTAATATAGCCTCGAGCTGTAAGCTTTAAGCAGAGATGAGGAGTGGGCTCAAAGGCTCTAGTATTCCAACTTCTTTCTAACTTCACACCTCCAAATTATTTTTCAGGTTTAAACTTCATTAGTGACACCAGTTGAAGAAACATAAGGCTTTATACAACCTTTTAAAAACACATTTAGAAATTATTCTCAAGATCTGAAAGTGTAAAATTGGCTTTAAACAATGAATATTAGCTCAGAGGAAGCGTTCGCTTTAATGTGGAGTTAACAGACTCATTGCCCTTCTTCACCCCCTTTTATTTAGGACTAGAATAATAGGCTGGCAATCCTGATATGCAAATGCAGACAACCATGTGGATTTTACAGCTTAATGGTAGAATGATCAGTCACGATGACCCCTAAAGGAAACAGCGAAGAATAGGAAAAGAAGAAGAAGAGGTAGGATGTTTTTTAGGATGTCTGTAGCTTCAATTATACCAAATGCTGAAAATCAAACTTAAGGCAAACGGCAGAGAAGGAAGCAAGAAGTGGTTGTGGATTCAGTAAATATACATAAATCGGTAATAGTAATTAACAGCAAAGGAACTGGAGCCAAATATTCTTTTTGTTTTACGCTAGAGAAAATAATGACACCAACACAATCAGCATGTCCTTGATATATGACACATGCCTCAAACAAGGAAGAACCACATCACTGGTAATCTGTGTTTGTCTTTCATCGCTTTCTTTTCTAGACTTAATTGTTATGTACATCACAAAAACATCACAAAAGCTGCGATGTGATGGCCTTTCCACCATAGACCTCAGAGCTGGTGTAGATCCCCATGTAACACTCTGACATAGAGGTGTGCCTATAACAAATCAATTTGTTGGTGTTTAAATGTAAAAAGTCTGTGATCTAAATATAAAGACTAAAAAAAAACAGCTTTAATTTTCATTGCATATTTACCACATATGCATATCAGGTAAATTCTCCACTATGCTCACCAGCTAATTGTGCAAGAACATGTCTACTGTTTTTTAGAAAACAGCTGCTTCTTACCTGAAATGGCAATAAGAAGGCAGTGTGGGTGAACTAAAACAGTAGATCTGAGGCCAGAAAGCTAAACAATGAACTGTAACTAAGTATAACACTCTGTAAAGCAGAAGTCAACTAAGAATTCTCTGCATTTTCATTGTTAATTACGCTTGTTGTGGTTTTTAAATCGCTATCGTTTATAATCTTTTTCACTCAACCAGTGTTGTGCTTGGTGTAGAGGACAAAAACAAAGACAAAAAGCAAAACACACACAAAAAAAGTGTAACTCTCTACTTAGGGTCTGCATCGTGGCTCAGTGCTATTAAACAGTTACTAACTAGACAAACTGCATCATATGTAATTCAAATGGAGCACAATCGAACAGGAAGATCATTAATTCTCTAGAGATGGAAAAAAAGAAAGCACTGTACATCCTTAAAAGTATCTTGTGGTTAAATAAGCCTATTAAGCACTTAGTCTGGTCAGTAAAGTTGAATCCAAATCAATAGTCCGTGTGCATTTGCAGTGTTTCTTGTGGCTCATTATGGGGTCTCCAAAGTCTATTTCAGGCCTATCTTTAACTCAGTGTCCACAAATCTTTAAATCTGGGATTTTTGAGTGGGAGTCGACAAGCAGCTCAACAGGCATGCCCAATAATGCCGAGAATGCCCAATAATTAGTTGCCCTGTTTAAAGGGAACACACACAACAGGCATATTGACAAATGTTTGGGCAAGCCAGCTACTGACAGAGCTCTCCTGCACAGAAGGTATCACTGGTGCCAAATCTAATGGGGAACCTAAAACAGATTTTCTTTGCATTTAAATGTATAAAATAATAATAATATATAGATTATTTGTGTAATTTAAATATATATCATTGACTAATGAAGCATTTTTTAAATTAAAAAATGTTTTTCTATTGTCTTTCCTGCTACAACAGCTAATGCTGTCAGCACTAAACTCTTAGCTCATCTTCTGTTGATTTTTGAAAACCTGCTGTTGGAAACATAAAAGTGTGCAGAGGATGTGCAGAGGCGTACCAGTCTTATTAAAATAGCAAATGTAAAGCTTTCATGAACTCAGCATTCAGTAGTTTGAATAACTGTTACATGAGCTCGACCTGACAATTACGTGTATTTATAAAATGATTTATTTAAAATTCTGCATTTTTAAACTTTACATGGTTCAAGATTGAAAAGCTTCTGATAGAAACCACAAAATTCTTTCAGGGAAGCTTTTTGGAGCCAGTAAGTGCTTCTCTGCTGCAGCGATACAATGATGAACAGCCCGGCGTACACAAAAGGCTACAGTGGGTCGTGAAATCAAAAACAGAGGTGTTCTTTAACCGCAACTGTAAAAAGCATTTGAGTCTCAAGATGTCCTATTTAGGACACCGTATTTACAACCTGTTTTGTATGCTGTTAATGCTACATCTTACTTTAGGTGCAGCTACATTTCTGCTAATACCTCGAGAAATAATAATAATAATACCCCCACAGTGAGAGAAATGGCTTGGTCAGTATTAACATGTGTGATAACGATTCTGCTATAGAGTCAACATAATGCAAAATCTTATACTTTGTTACTTGCAGATGTGTT